CGGGAGGGAAGTTAGCAGCCAGCAAAGTATCTCGGATAAAATCCCACCGAAGATGATCGAACGCTTTTTTCTAAATCAACTTTGATCACCATCCATCCATAGCTAGCGCTTAAAGGAGCGACGCCTGGAATGGACAGCTTCTGATTGATGATGATATTCTCAGTAATCGATCTACCAGAGATGAAACTAGTTTGATTCGGCATGATAATGGATGACATTACAAGTTTTAGGGGGTGAACGATGACCTTCGTAAGGAGTTTGTAAATGACTGTGCAAAGACTGATAGGACGAAAGTCGTTGAAGCATTCGGGTGAGTATTTTTCAGAATAAGGACTAAGATTGTTTTGTTCAAGGTTGGCTCAAGATCACCGCCAATAAAAATATCCCGGATACACGTGCAAACGGTACTGCCAACCATCGACCATTGCTTCTGGAAAAATTCCGCATGGAGGCCATCAAACCCCGAAGCCTTGAGGGGTGACATGTCATTTAGAGCTTCTCGGATTTCCTGGTTTGAAGAGGTCATAAGCCCATTATCAAAAAGGGGAAACGTAGTAATGGTTTATATGGATCGGAGATCACCTCATCAAAAGAGAATAGTTGGCGAAAAAATTGAATAGTTTCTATTTTCAGAGTTTCAGGGTCATCACACCGCTCACCAGATTGCAGCTTAAGAGACATGATGCGATTGCGTTGTTTGTGAATTTTAGTTTTCCAATGGAAATATTTGATATTACGATTCCCAAAAGAGATCCAGTCGGATCGGGATCGTTAGCGCCATAAGGTTTCTTACTGATCAAGCAAATTTTCAAGGTCAGAAAGCAGTTCAAACTCAAGGGCAGATAAAAATTCGGAATGTTTTGTTTGAAGGGCTTTCTGCACACCACGGAGCCTTGCCATAAGGTGTTATTTCTTAGAACCAATGTAGCCAAAGATAGAGCGGTTCCAAAGATCAGCCGCTTGAGTGAAAGTTGCAATAGTGTTCGCGAGGCTATCGGATTGATACCAATTTTCTTGAACCATGCGAGAGAAATCTTCATAAGTAGCCCAGCCAGAGAAATAACAAAATTGCTTGTTGCGAGAGGAGTGATTGTGAGATCCAACTTGGAGGAGGAGAGGCCGGTGATCGGAGCAGATGCGAAGAAGATGGTGGACGGAGGAGTTGGGATAGGCCTCATCCCAATGAGTGTTACAAAGAAGCTATTAAGTCAAGCATAGGTCATGCCACTTGACCATGTGAAAGGAGGACCATGGTAGCCCATGTCCCGAATATCAGAATTAAACAAGAAGTCATGAAAGTCTTTGCAAGGAGCACTGACATTGGCGCCACCCCAACGTTCCGAAGCCGATAGAGTAGAGTTAAAGTCACCCAAGAGGACCCACGGATGATGAGTCGAAGAGCCGAGGAGGCGAAGATTATGCCAAAGACGCTTCCGCTTGGAAGGAATTGTAGTAGCGTAAACAAAGATAGCAAAGCATTAAGAGTTGTCCCGTCGTGTAGTAATGTTACAGTGGATGTATTGAAAATAATAAAATTTCTTTTAACAACTGAGGCCACTTGATAGAATCTGAAATGTAATTTTCAATTGAAGTTATGGAAGAATTTAAGTGATGGATACACCAACTATAATAATTTTGAGAGGTGGCACTCTGGTATCTAGCTTTCATCAATAAATTCAAACCAATAGAAGAGCAGAAGCAAGTTTAAAAATTCTGCATCTAAATATACAAAGAAAGAAACTGTAAATTCCATACACAATTTCAAAATCTATACCTCTAATTATACATTACCCAAATCTTCAAAACTCACATTTAAATCATAAAAAATATATATTTAATATCACGTCACTGGAACCGGCATGAATGCATCACTAACATCCATACTCGAACCACCACCAGACTCCCGGCTCTCCTCCCTGTACGCCTTCTGCTTGATGAATTCAATGCAATCCGCTACAGCTTCGCTACGGTGAGCATCGACCGTCCGGTGGTACCTCCGTGGCACGGTCGGCGAGCTAGTTTGACGATCGGGTGAGGCCTTGGTGAGAGCCAATAACATTATGAGACGAAAAACGGCCTCGCAGATGTGTTCAAAGAGAGACATCGGCGAGAAACGCTTGTTTTTGCTATTACCTTTGAACCTAGGCATGCATAGAGTAGTGGTAGACTTCATTTTCTCAGGGCTGCTGCCTCTGCCTTTTCTCTCAATCGTTTTCTGGTATTGTTTGCTTTGATAATTATTAGGTGCAACTAAACAATTGAGAGAAAAGGCAGAGGCAGAGCCAATAATTCGTCTGTTGCATTATGAGACAAAATCATACATGCATAGCATAGAGTAGTAATGCAACAGACGAATTATTAGGTGCATGTATGATTTTGTTGATTAGCTTAGCTTTCCAAGTAAACAATTATGAATGTTATATTTATTACATATCGTAGATATTACAAGAAATCCCACCACACAATTTAATACTGTCCTAATCTGTTTTAATGGTTTTAATTAAATGGGATTAAATCAAAATAGATTAGCAAATCATGTTAAAGAAACCTTTTTGTCTTTACTCATACTCTGGGATAAGGCTCACATGGGTTACTTGTGCGTCGGTTACATAATTTTAATGCAATCCTCCATGGTTCACCATGACAGTATTCAATTCAATTCGGCCGACCAACCGACCATCAAAGGAAACCTTTGCTTCTTTACCCCTCTTTTTAATTAAACTATGAACAATGTTCTTCTGGTTTTTCACAATTCTCTGTTTAGCATCATTAGAAAAGAAGATAATGTTATATTTCTTCTGGATCTTCGCATATCGAAACTTTCGGAGAAATTCTTCTATTGTTCAGATCTTTTGGAGATTCATAATCTTAGGCCATCAATAATTTTTTGTAATAACCTCCGGTAGTCCTACGAGAGACAATGTCAATGGCAATATCTATTCACTATGTTAACCTATGCGTACTTATTATGTCCCCAGGTCTAACACTATACTAAGAGTTATTATATATAAATCTCTCACACAAGAGGAGACTCTCTTAGGACTTTTATTTTCCTTTCAAGTCAGAGTTAACCGCCGTTCACGGCACACCACTCTCCTTCGTATAATTATCGGTTGTAATTCTTCATCAAAATTAAAAGGAATAAATCACTTATAGTCGACATAAACCCAAATGTTACCACCAAGCCGAACTTATTACCAAAGGTGGTGTGACCGAAACATTGGACTTGTCAACTGCAGTAAATGAGGGGCAGTGAACCTCTCTTCACCATGTTTGAAACTGAGTTTGCTGTCTCCTGCCTGTCTGTTTTTGTTTGTAAGATCTGGTACACGGTTGGGGGACATGTTGGATTGAGTTTTGTCAGCTAACTTGAATACATTCCCCAATTCTGGTATCAATCACATCGTCCTTCTCTTAACTTCTTCATCTCACTTACAATATAGCAGTAACTTTCCCTAGTTATTTTAGTTACTTGAAAAAGACATGTATGTGTAATGTTGAGGTCTTAAATGAGGCTATGGGGTTGGACTCCTTTGATTACTGTTCTCTAAGATTGAGCTTGGTCGATACCTGCAATAATGGAGATAATGTAATTCAAGACCCCAAAAGTTTTTCCATATGATTTCTCTATGGTATTGGGAAAGAAGCTTGGGTTGATCAAAGATTTGACTTACAACAGTTGTACGGTTGTAGAAGGTTTATTCTTTTTTATTTAGACGAAAAATTACAATCGATGAATTTTGGATAGAGCTAGTGCTCGTGTCAAGTCTAGAGTCATGATGATTATTCATAGATTGGCAGGACGAATGTATATGATAGTCAAACAATAAATTTAACTCTAATAGATCATATTTTAGTGGGCAGCTACCCTAGTCTCTTAGGGATTCTATATCTAGGCTACCTCACGTTTTAGTAGGCGACAAGCATATATCCTCTCCATATGGTCGACCTTACTAACTCCTAATTAGATTAGTTTAGGTCATACATGTATTATGCACTACTAATTAAATGTGAGAGTTACAAAATGAAGGCTTCTAAATTTTAAATTTTAAAATAAAAAGTTTTAAAAAATTGAAAATGTTTCTTTTTAAGAAGGTTTACAAAATTTTGAATTTCACCTATAAATATTTACCGAATATACTCCTCCGTAAACGAGTTGACGTTACAAACTTTGAAACTACTTCATTAATTGTCTGAAACAAATTGTTGTAAACACACTAATGACAATATAAAAGATGATGGATAAAACTAGGGTAAATTACTTTTTGGTTGCCCAAATTTGTATATGGTTCTATATCGGTCACTTAACTTTATAAAATTTCAATTTCATCATTGAACTTTTAAATTGCTTGTGCTTTTGCCACTTGACCGTTAAGTGTCTAACACCTTTTTTTTTTTGTAAATTTATGCAAAATCCTTTGGAATTTTTTTCCTCAAACTCATAATTTTAGACTCCCTTTGATTCATCGATATGATAGTATTTTCTTCCAAACCGAATGGTGGAGAGGTTAAGAAAGAGGAGAAAACAATATATATCAATTCCACGATGACCGAACGATGAAAATTGTAAATATGAGCAAGAAAAGTCAAAGTTGTAATTTGAGTTTTGTCAATTTTAAGGGAATTTAAAGGGAAAACCAAACTGAGAAGAAGAAGAAAAAGGGAAGAAAGGGAAAACCAAACATTGTATGTGAGTGTTGTCAGTAAACACTTAACAGTCGAGTGACCAAAAAATAAATAATTTAAAACTTTAGTGATGCAATTTGAAAATTTTAAAGTTGAGTGACCAAAATCAAAACACAGGTGAAGTTGAGAGACCAAAAAAGCAAACTACCCATCAAATTAAGGTAAATTAAAGCAATCTAACTAAATCTCAAATTTGACCATAATAAAAGGACCAAAACCATAATTTGATCTTTATTTGCTGAATAGCTTTTTAAATATAAGTACAATATATAACTTCTTTGTTCCAATAAAAACATACACCCAAGAATAGAGCATCAAAATTCAGGGCAATGATCTATGATTATCACACAAGCTCTGCATTGTATTTATCCTGGTGGCAACTCCAACTAAGGTATATACCCAACAGGGAAAAGAAAAACCCTGCAAGCTCACCTAGAACAGTACTAAATTGTGCCCCAACTCGCATTTGAATGTTTTTATTAAGGTCATCGCTGCAGCTACAACTGCGACCACAATTTAATATTATTTACAAGTGCCTCTGAAAGTCATTTGTTCTCGGGGACTGATCATCTTCTCGTCTTCCTTTCTTCTTGGCAAAAAGCCATCCGATCATGGAGATTGTTGGCTTCCTTCTAACTTTCTTAACTGGTTTTTCCACCATTTCCTCTTTGTTGACAATAACTTGAGCTAATGAAGGAGGGCTAGCAAATTTCACGTATCTCTTCTTCTGGTCGCATGGTTTTGTGAAGCCCACTTTGGTTGCTTCTTCGATGAACTTGAAGTCTTCACTGTCAGGCTCGAACCGCTGCTTCTGAAACTCCTTTTCCCTGAACTTCTGCAGATCGTTTTTCGTTTTTTCAAGCTCTTCTTTTAGTACTTTTATGCTGAACGACATTGAGTTGGCTTCCTCTTTGGTCCTTTGCAGGCTTTGCTTTGTTTCTTCTAGCTCCGACGTTAGGGCTGCGATCTTGGATTGGCCTTTCCCGCTTTCTCCTACTTGAACTCTCATCTGACATATAAAATTAAGTTGTCATTATCCATGTAATCTAAAACACAGGTGAATTCTCTTCTAATTTAGATATTTTTTATATTTACCGCTGATAAGATATATTTCATGGCCTTGTACTTGTGTTAAATAACTAAAGATAAAAGAGACAACCTCTTTGAGCTTGTTGCCATAAATTTCTGCAACCAGAACTTTTTCTCCAAATAACATGACCGCCTCCTTAACCGAGCGAAAGGGTGGTCGAGTATCGATCTCCGCCCGTCCAACGATGGTGATGCCGCCGCCTTCCTCCGCCTCCATGGCTATACAGAAAACTTAAAGGATGTGTCGAACTGCCGTGAATGAGGTTGAAGTCCTTTATATTAACACATGGGGGGGGGGAAGAAAAGGGTCGTTGGGAATGAAAATTTGATAATTGGTGTTGGGATTAGTTTCTTAGCGTCCACTTCACTGGAATCTTGTTAATTGAAGTTGACATGTTGGATTGCATCCTCCATCCATTGTTTTAGTTTAATTTCTAATATTGTGTGAAAGTGAAACTGAACGCATACACTTTAGCCTTTGATTAGGACGTGGCTCCTTACTTGGTGGCGCACCTACACATGCCAAATTTCCCAAGTGATTTTCACCGGTAGTTCTATGGTGCGGCATACTTAATATACTGTTAAGGAAAGACATTATCGATTTTGTTATTATTTTTTTAATAAAACCGATAAAAAATTACCTAAAACATTATTATTTCTACCTAAAACATTAATGTTTTTTAATATTTTCAGTAAAGTGCCCAATAATAACAAAACCTGTAGAAAAAATAATATTTAAAGTATCGCTTTACCAGATATATTAACAAAACCGGTAAAACGCCAAATAATAACAAAACCGGTAGAAATAATAATATTTCCGGTAATTGTTTACCTATTTTGTTACAAAAATAATAACAAAACCGATAACGTCATTCCTTAACCGTATATTAAGATTGTCGCACGTGAGACTTTCTCGCTTTTCACATTCGATTTGGGTGAATTCAATCCATCCAAAATTGGTAGACCATAATACTTTTTATAATGGGCAAACTACCATATTGATCACTTTTCTCTCATATTCATACACTTTTGCTCATTAAATTTAAAAAGTTATGTTTTGATCACTTACGTTATCTGTTGTTACATTTTAGTCACTAAGTTGTTACCTCTTGTTAGTTTAATAATGTAACACGTTAGTAAAAAAGGATTAGTGTTTAACTTGACTTCTGAATTTTAGATAGAATACTATTTTGACCTTTAACTTTAGATGAAATATTATTTTGACCCCTAACTTTAAATAATAAAAAATCAATTAGACATTTGAATCCAACCAAAGTCTCACGTTATTGGCCATCACTCTCCACCGTCATCGTTCGACATCTACTGTTAAACCCCAAAATTTCCAATTCATTCATTTTTAACATTCTAACACAAATATGATATATGTCCCATCAGAAAAATACCATAAACTCAACAAATATAGCATATTGTTGAACCATATTTTATAATGTTTTGATATAACAAATTAAAGCAAAATGTTTTTAGACTTGATTGAATTTGTTTAAAGTTTTCAAAAATAATTCAAAATACATTAAACTATAATTTGAGCATAAAACAATTTTCTGGGTATGTAGCTGTTCTTACAATATCGGTACTATATGAACAGTACCGATATTGTTCACGTGGTACCGATACTAAAGGTAAGATAAATATCGATACTCACTGGTAGTATCGATACTACTAGTTGTTTTCCAAATTGCTCAAATTTCAGAATGCAAATAGGTATCGATACTCAAAGGGGTATGATACTACTTTACACAGTAGTATCGATACCATGAAGCATAATATCGATACTGGTCAAGCCCAACAGTCTTTAACGACTAGTTTATCGATACTCACTGGTAGTATCGATACTACTAGTTGTTTTCCAAATTGCTCAAATTTCAGAATGCAAATAGGTATCGATACTCAAAGGGGTATGATACTACTTTACACAGTAGTATCGATACCATGAAGCATAATATCGATACTGGTCAAGCCCAACAGTCTTTAACGACTAGTTTATTTAAATATTACAAAGGTAGTACCGATACTCATTAAAGGAGAACCGATACTCTCTGTCCTGGGCCGTTTTATTTTGCAGAAAAATAATCCTCAACGGCTAGAAACGGCCACAAACTCATTCCAACATATAAAAACAGGTTGATGACACTTGAAGAAGGTTGGACAACAACTATCCAAGCAATCAAACAGAAGAGAAGAGATTTTCATTCTTATTTTACTTTCTCTTGTAAATATTAGTGTTTTAGTGAGCTTAATTTTTGTAAACGCATTCCTTTGAGAGGTTTTTTTGTTTACATTTCTCATCCTTTGTGTAAAGGGGATTGGTTCTAGCTTAGTTTTTGAAAAACTATGGAGTTGTAAATGTTATCTATTTTTTCTGTAAAAAGAAAGAATAATTAAAGAATTTGTTAGAAAATCCTAAGTGAAGAGCTTAGGTAGTGGGTGTAGACTTGGTTGAGAAGTCGAACCACTATAAATCCTTGTCAAATTGTCTATATCAGTTTACTCATTGCTCTCTAAACTCAAAAAGCCAATTCACCATCTCTTGGCAATTATTCGGTTGTTCAATTGAGCTTCATCGAATCCAACAATTGATATCATAGCTTCTTCAAGGATCGTCTTAAGGTTATTAAACCTTTCTAATGAGTCAAGCTCTTTGAAGTGTCTAAATTTTTGAGCTAATTAAATAATAATATTAACTCCTCAACTTCTTTTAAAATTAAATAATAATAATAGCTTAATCATTAATATTTCTTAAAAAACAAGTGCACCAAAAATTTAAATCTATATCATAATAAATGCATAATTTTTTTTGTTTATAATATTGTTATGTTGAATTTTTTTGTTATGTTTATATTATTAAATGTAAATTTTTAATCTTTAAACTAATAATATCATTAGAATCTTTTATATATTTCCAATTATATATTTCGTTAGATATTGCCGATGACAAATATTCGTTTTGGTCAAAAGAAAAAAAATAAATTAAAAATTTAGCGCCCATAATTTGAGCCCAATAGTCACAAAAATCAATCTCACCAGCCACTACTTTACTGCTACAACTACCGAATACATTGTTTTACAGTTGTAAATTTATGTATTTCATGTTAAATTTGGATTAAATTCCACTATCATTACTATTTCTAAAAATTATCTTTGAATTTGTATTAATTTTTTAAGGTTATAAATATTATAAAAAACAAAACAAAACAAAACAAAATAATAATAATTTTATAAAACTTGTAGAATAATAATAGTTTTATTTTAGGGTCTGTTTGTTTCCCGTAATTGGAATTACGGAATTGGTTTTCCCCGAATTCCCGTGTTTGTTTCACGTAATTCGTTTTTCGGAATGTAATTCATTTTCCTAGTAACAGAATTTCCTTTGTGTTTTCTGTAAAATGACTTACGGATTCATTTTCCGTAAGTCATTTTCCGAACTTTTCACTTCAAAGCAAAAATACTCAAAATAATTTTATTTTATGAATTTAATATTAATAAAATATTTTAATATCATTTTCATCAAAATATTAATTATTAAAATATTTAAAATATATTTATTAATATTTATAATAATATAATATTATATTTTTAATATTATATAAAATAATCAATTATATTATAATAATATAAGATATTATATTTTTATTTCAATAATATATAATAATTTTTTTTATATATTTAATAATGAATAATATTATTTATATATTTCAATAATATTTTAGTAAAGATATTAAAATATACTAATTAATATTTTTAAAATATAATATAGTACTATTACTTTAATAAATAATTAATATAATTTATAAAATTTTATTTCACTAAAATATACCGAAAAAATGTTTAAATAACATCTTCCAAACATCATAAAACGTTTTCCAGATGTTTTCCAGAAATGTAATTCATTTTCCAGAAATGTAATTCATTTTACAGAAATGTAATTAATTTTCCAGAATTCAAATTCCAGTAATTCATTTTCCAGTAATTCAAATTCCAGTAATTCAAATTCCAGTAATTCATTTTCTGGAAAACCAATTACAGCTAAACAAACAGACCCTTATTTTATTTTAATTAATTACTATTTCTTTACATATACTAAAATATATAAATATTAAACAATTATATAATATCTACACATATAATATATATAATATTAAAATTTATCATCTTTAATATTTATAAATATTAAAAATGTATAACTAATATTATAAACATAACAAAAAATCTAACATAACGATATTATAAACATAAAATTTATGTATTTGATTATGATATAGATATAAATTTTTTTGTCATTATTTTTAAATGAATATTAATGATAATTTTATTATTACTTGTCACGGCCGTCTTTCGGTTGGGCCCGGAATTGGGCTTCGACTTGAAAAAATGGGTTAGAGTCACCACCAATCATTTTAAAAGCATTTAGGTGGATTGGACACCATCTTACCTGATTTGCGTTTTACCAGAAATGTGTCGGGTTCGGGAGTTGGTTACAGTCAATGAAGGATTAGCACCCTTGAACTGTCCTTTCGGTACGAATTAATTTGTCGGTTGTCTTATTTACGAAAAATTGAAATTGAAATTAAAATTTAAAAAAACTCGATTTAAATTACTTACATTTAATTGGTTGGAATTCCTCTAAAAATTGTCAAACAGAATGTTAGATTGTAAAAATAAAAATAAATAAATAAATATGAAAAAAAAGTTTTTTAATTAAATATAAAATCAAGTTTAAAGAAAAAAAATAATGAAGAAACAATGAAGAAAATAGATTTTCAAGGAAATAAATTAAATAAATAATAAATAATAAAAATATTAAAAAATATTAAATTTCAAAGAAAAAAAGAAAAAAATAAAAAAGGAAAGAAAAAACGTTTACGGAAAAAATAATAAATTTTTATTCCAAAAAGGAAAAAAAAGTTGAAAAAGGGAAAAAAGTCAACAAAAATTGAGCCATGGTCCACGAAAATATATTTAATACTACATATATAATAATAATAATAACAGAAAAAAAAGATAAGAAAAATAATATATAAAAATATATTAGATTAAATAAAATAAATAAAGAAAAAAATAAATTAATTGCAACAAAACAAAAAATAAAATAAAATGCATATATACATACAAAGGGTTAAATTGAAAATATTACAAACAAAGTGGTCAAAGTTAAATATCAATAAAAATATCATAACAAACAATAATAAGACTAAAATATAATTACTGAAAACTAAGTGTTCCAAATTAAATAAAATAAAACTCCATTAAACCATTGAAAAATAAGAGTACAAAAGTAAAGGGACCCAAATGATATTATCCCCTAAGCGAAATTACAAACTACTCCCTATCGAAAGTACTACGTCGTTTCGTGGGGATTATATAAAGCCCAAAACAAAGGCCAAACTCATACAAAACCTCATTTGTTTCCTTACCTCAAAACTAGAAGAGAGAGATATGAGTTCTCTCAAGTGCTTTAACCGAGCCTATATTTCGACGAAGTTATGCTACCTCGGCCGCCGCTTACCGACGGCGATTGCCGTCCACCGGTGCCGGAGAAGAGGAAAGTTGACACCTTTCGAATCGTTTTCAACCATGGATACGAATCCGGGCTTCTTTTGGCTTAAAGAGGGCTTAAGCGCCGGAGATCTACGAAGAAACATTTCGGTTTCTTTGTCTCCAGCGACCATTGGTGTTCTCGGCACCCTTACAAGCTAAGTCCCTTCCTCCTCCTTTGTTTTCTTTATTGTTTTCTCTTTTTTTTACAAATCCCCCTCCGAATACTTTGTATTTTGCCCGATCAAACCCCCCAAATACTCTGTATTTTTCTCTCATATTTTTCCTTTTCGTATTAACATTCGTATGAATTTATAGGCCTATAGAGTTCCCTATTTTTCGTGCAACTTTAGTGTTTTACTAGGACTAAAACTCGTGTTTGTTGAGTTGTAGTGGTTGGTTGCGTCGAGAAATTGGGGTTTATTGGTGGCGACTGAAAGAGGGATTCTCCCACATTTAATCGACGACGACGCTTAAGTGGAAAGAGGAGGGAAACCCTAATCTCATTTGAATGTGTGGGCTTGGCAAGGCTGACTTGGGCCTACACAAAAAAACCCAAAACTAGTAAAAATATAATATGTATTAAAAAAAACCATGTGGTTTTCATAATATAAATAAAACATTTATATTATATTGTATAGTTGGATCGGACGAAAATGGGTGGCTACATTGTTGTTTTATTTTAAAGGAATTCGAAAGGTTATATGATAGATTTGTTAATTCTTTTGCATTTTTTTGGGCGAAACAAACACTGCATTCACATTCATGGGGTAAAAATGAGTGAATTTGGAGGTCTAACAGTCAGTGACAATGTCGGTCGATGCCAATCGATGGTGATTGACGGTGACAGTGGTGAGTGGCGGTGGATGATGGAAGATTGTGGTAGAATTCATGAGTCAAATTGATATTTTATCTAAAGTTGAAGGGTCAAAATGACATCCATCTAAATTTTAGGGTAAAATTATAATTTTATCTTAAATTGAGGGGTTAAGTTAAATATTAACCTCTTTTGACGAACATGCCACATCATCAAACTAACATGAGTTAACAATTCAATGACCAAAATTTAACAATCGATAATTTAAGTGACTGAAGTTTAATGAATCCATAACATAAACGATCAAAACATAACTCTTTTGAGTTTGGTGAGTAAAAATGTACAAATATAAAAGGAAAGTGATCAACCCAATAATTAACCCTAAAAGTAATCACAATTTCAATAATTTGGGTTTCTTTTCCTTTTTTAATAAAATTTTGAATTTATATTTTATCTACATCCATTACTCAAATCAAATTAGATTACTTTTTAAACAAGTTTTTATATTTATGAATTTAAATTATCTTTGTAAAAAAATTATGTAATCAATTAAATTTATAGATAATTCTAGAGATAATAATAGGACGAGTGAATATGTAATATATTTAAACTCTGGTAAGATTTTCGTTTTTCTTTTTCATTTTTAATCCATTTGAATTGTTTTTATTTTAGGTTTACATTATAAATTCTTCCCATAAAATTTGACTATAAGCAAATAAGTCATTAAACAAAATATTGTATCAATTGAATTCGTTTTTAAAAAATACGTAATAAAAAACCCTAAAATTAGAAAGACACAACAATCGAGTCATTATTTGAATATTCTATAATCAAATTTTCGAAATCCATTTAATCATGAATTTTCAAATAAATGTTTCAATTAAGAAAATATTTCATTAAAGTACTTATTTGATCATCGTCTAATTCAACAGGGACCTATTCATTATATAATCTTTTATTTTTAATTTAATAATTCAAACTAAAATAAAAAATAAAAAAGGATACCTAGTCAAATTTGGACGGGGATGTGGCTAGATCACAGGGATGCAGTTACCGAGTCAAATTAGGGTCAAAAGGTACAACTTTATTGGACGTAGGGTAAATAGATATTGGGTTAGGTCCAAATACGAAAGCCCATTAATTTCGGACCCATTGAAACGGATCCGGGGCATCAGTGAAGACAAATCAGGGCTATAAAGCAAGTCATTTAGAATCGAGGGTATTCAATTTTTTAGCGAATTATCGAGCGCTATGAACTCTCGAGAGGGAACGTAACCAGTGATACCCCCAACTGCATTTTTTTCTCTATCGGTTTCCTGAAATTATTTTTCAATCCTTAAACCCAAACTCTGCAAGAGATACAAACTGAGCTTTTCAATTTTGGACATTTTGAAGAAGAAAAGAGGAGCAAGAACGAAGTAACAAGTCACAAGTGTAACGGGTTGTGTGGGAAAACCCTAGAAAGTTAAAAGCTTGGGTTTCTCCTCCAACAATGAGTCCTATTCCGAATTTGGAGCAGCACTCTCGCCACCTCATGGAACCTGACCTCCGTATTCCCTTCGCTCTCTTCATTTCCTTTCTCTGTTTGCCCCCCCCCCCACATAAAAAATTTAGAAAGATACTATTTTTGCTGTAATTTTGATTTCTTTATTTTTGTTTTGTTTTTGGAGAACAGCAATTCAGACGAGGTTACAAATGGCCATGGAGGTTAGAGACAGTTTGGAGATAGCTCACACTTCCGAGTACTTGAATTTCCTCAAACACTACTTCCGAGCCTTCTCAGTCATCCTTTTACAGATTACTAAGCCTCAATTCACTGACAATCCCGAGCACAAAGTGCGGAATGTTGTGGTGGAAATTCTCAATAGGCTTCCTCACAGTGAAGTTCTTCGACCATTTGTTCAAGACCTATTAAAAGTAGCCATGCAAGTGCTAACTACTGATAATGAAGAAAATGGCTTAATTTGTATTCGAATTATCTTCGACCTTCTTAGGAATTTCAGGCCTACTTTAGAGAATGAGGTGCAACCTTTTTTAGATTTTGTGTGCAAGATTTACCAGAACTTTAGGTTGACAGTTAGCCATTTCTTTGATAATGCTGCTATGGGAATGGAAGTAGATGTCAAGCCTATGGATACTTCTTCTTCAGTGGATCAAGGGATTACTTCGAGTGGATATGCTGGGAACGGACAGTTGAATCCCAGTACACGATCATTCAAGATAGTTACAGAGAGTCCACTTGTAGTCATGTTTCTGTTTCAATTGTATAGTCGGCTTGTACAAACTAACATCCCTCATCTGTTACCTTTGATGGTTGCGGCAATATCTGTTCCAGGACCTGAAAAGGTTCCTCCCCATTTGAAGACTCATTTCATCGAGTTAAAAGGTGCACAGGTTAAGGTGCGTTTCTCTATCTCACGGTTTCCTATCTCCATTGTTTCAATTGTTGTTTTGCCATATGATATTATGCTTTGTATTATATAACTAGTTCTAGACAATGGTCTCGGAGAGTATGATTGGGATTGTTCACGATCTCTTTCTGAACTGTTCGCTGAATGTCTCAATTTAATATTGTTGTGTGTAGAGATGCTCTTGTTTTGAATTTATCCTTAAATACAATCAGTTTTATGGAAGTAATTGAATTGAAACTGAAATTTTCATGAAGTTTTTCTTGAGGATGTAGCTTTTGAGAATCATTTGAAGGATTGAAACTTGAAACTCTCTGTGCCGGAAATATGTTGAATATTCAAATCCTTTCATTTGAGAGAAAGTAAACTTTGTAATTTTAGTTATTTGAAGCCTTTTAATTACTCTCTGGATCTGCTCTATTTGTCTGCTTATTTTCTTTCTTCTCTATTGCAGACAGTTTCCTTTTTAACATACATTTTGAAGAGCTTTGCTGATTATATAAGACCACATGAAGAAAGTATATGTAAAAGCATTGTGAATTTACTTGTTACATGTTCTGACTCGGTATCCATTAGAAAGGTAATCTGTGCGTGAGATTTTTTTTTTTTTTTTTTGATTTTGGTCCTTCTGGTTTTAAATGCTGATTTTGCTGAATACAGGAGTTGTTGGTAGCCTTGAAACATGTTTTGGGCACAGATTTCAAGAGGGGTTTGTTTCCTTTGATTGACACGCTATTGGAAGAGAGGTGAAATTTTATCCCCCCCATTTATCTACATTGTTACATCAAGATGAGTCAATAAACCATGATAAAGATCTTGTATTGTCAAACTTGTTGTAATTAATGAAAGATCAAGCAAGTGATGGTCTCACATCTCTGTTTTGACATTATGTTATATGAGAGACTATTAAATTTGCTAGTGGAAAAGAAAAATTATGCGGATTTTGGAGTCATACTAGTGTCACATGTTTTAAGAAACACAGGATAAAACTGTGGCAAATAAAAACTTTAAATTCAAAGAGCTGCCTTATGCCAATGTTGGTTCCAAAAACTCTTGGATGGTTTGACTTGTTTTACTAACACAATATAGCTTTTAGTAGTTGTCAGCTATCATTATTTATTTCTACAAGAGCTTTAAATAAGAACTTTATATTCAAAGAGCTGCCTTATGCCGATGTTGGTTCCAAAAACTCTTGGATGGTTTGACTTGTTTTACTAACACAATATATCTTTTAGTAGTTGTCAGCTATCATTATTTATTTCTACAAGAGCTGCCTTATGCTGATTGGTTGGACCATTTAATAACTTCCTTGAAGCTTTGTTTTGGAACTTTGACAGATAATTCTCCTGTCTGGGATGCTTGGATAGAAATAGTAGTAGCTTAACTGTTTCTTTATGGTTTTTAGTCTCTATATTTTGCCTTTAAGCATGTGTTACTTACCAACTTGGCTGGTCAGTGTGCTTGTTCGACTTAGCCTTGATATCAATTTATAAATTTGCACAAAATTGCATTGCTAAGTTAGGTTTTATGCTTTGACCTGTGTATCTAATTCAAATTATTTCCTATCATTGCATTTGATTTCTTGTAATTTCTTCTATTTTACTTCAGGGTTCTAGTTGGAACTGGACGTGCTTGTTTTGAAACTTTGAGGCCATTGGCATATAGTCTTTTGGCAGAGATTGTTCATCATGTCAGAGGGGACCTCTCCCTCTCACAGGTATGGATCTGAGATCGGAATTTTATCATTTTCTTCCATTCTTTTTGTTGTAGGTTTAAAAATTGTGATGGTGAAGTTGACATCTTATTCTGATGCCGATAAACTTTAATTTGTTGCTGCAGTTATCACGGATTATTTACTTGTTCTCAACTAATATGCATGATGCTTCACTGTCACTTGGAATTCATACGACTTGTGCTCGTCTGATGTTAAATCTGGTGCCTTTTCCAACTCTGTCACTACCAAGTTTTCTTTGTCCTAGATGTGTAGTGGTGGATCATCTCATGTTTTGATGCTGATTGTATCACAAATTTCCTTTTGAATTTAGGTGGAACCAATTTTGAGAAGGGAGTTGATCAGTCATCAATGGATGAAGCACGTGTTTTATTGGTATGAGTTCTGAGTAATTTTTCTACTAGCATTGCTTGAATTGATTGATTTGATGGATTTTCTCTTGCATCCTTGCTTTACTTCAGGGGCGTATTTTGGATGCTTTTGTTGGGAAATTTAGTACATTCAAGCGTACCATTCCCCAGGTAAGTATGGCTAGTCTCAGCTTTAATCTAGAAAATGTATCTCCTGTGACTAACCCATTTTATTGTACCAGTTTTGCTATGGTCCAAGGAATTATTTCTTTATATCTTTGGGTTGACAAACCAGTAATAGCTGCCTGTAAATGTTCATGCACATGGTTTTCACTTTCTAACCGTTCCTCTTTGGTTCTGATTCTCTCATCTGGGTTCTGTCACTTGTTATGTGCTTAGGCATAATATAGTGGTAACCTGATCTTTCCTTCGAAGGGGATTTTTGTAATTTGAATCTTCAATATCCTAAACCATCTGAATAGTGGGCTATGACTTCGTATTATAAGTGCCATATTTTTCTCTGTTGTCCCATGAAGCATTCAAAAGTTGGCAAAAGAACTCAGCTTTAGATGATAGGCTATGACATTTTTCCGAGTCATTAACTTCTAATTTTATTTGGCCAAATCAATTCTTTTTTTAATCCTCTTGTATAAGAATAGTTCACAAGGACATAGGAATGATGATATTCTGTTTTTCAGACTGCACCAAATAAGATCGACCATTACATGTTTGTTTAAATATTTTATAATGCTCTCTATGTGCCTATCTGTCATCTTACTATCTTAGACATTATTCTTCGTTCGACTTTTTATTTCCAAATTCTGATTGATTGATCTTATTGGGCTTATCCCTGAGTTTCTAGATTTTTTTGTTTCTCAAAATATGATTTCTATGTGCCTATCTGTCTTACTATCTTAGACATTATTCTTCGTTCGACTTTTATTTCCAAATTCTGATTGATTGATCTTATTGGGCTTATCTGAATTTCTAGATTTTTTGTTTCTCAAAATATGGTTTCGGATAATTTAGTGGGATCAACTTCCTTTTGATTTTTCATCTGAATTTTTTCTTTACTTTTTAAGACTATTGGCTATATTAATGCATTTCTATGTTTATCCATAGTTGTTAAAGGAGGGTGAAGAGGGAAAAGATCGCCCTACACTGAGGTCAAAACTTGAGCTTCCTGTACAGGTTCTCTTTGATACCTATAAATTTGGTATTAAGTAATTTTATTTGCTCTAGTCTATTATTCAGGTTCTGACTGAGCCTCTGGTTGATATCCAATGTATCTGTTATTTTGTCGGCAATCAAGTATAGGTGGTGTTATCAATGTATTTGTTTCACTTTTCGTATGACGTGAATGTTAGACTTCCTTTTATCATGAACCGATAAATTTAGGGTTTGTATAACTATCTGTTTAATTGTTTCTCTCTGTTAGATACTTTTGGATGTTTTTCTCTGGCCTGCTGTTTGAATTGAATATGTATATGCTGTGCTGTAGCTACGAAATTCAGGCTAGAAAATTTGCTATGCTTTCTATTAACCTACTATAGAAGTCATAATTTGAAAGGCTATGTCCATAATACATCAAAATGAGTTGTAATTCTACATTTCATATATATATATATATAAATATTTTTTTGATAAAACATATATAAATATATTAATTTAAGGGAAATATAGTCATACTGACAGTTACTTGTCTAGTAAAGGAAATTTATAAGTTAGAACTGGTTTGATATTGCAAAATGCCTTTGATCTGGGATCTAGCTTTGGACTTCTACTTTGTGAGACTTTCTCCAAAATTTCCATGATTTCTCGTGTCAAAGTAAATTTTCTTGAAATTATTTAGAAATTCAAATTTATTGCACCATTTTATTGCCAGTGCTGATAAGATATCATTTAGTTCGAAGAATTGGATTTTTTTTGATGTTCCAGTTAAATCTTTGGATTTTTGATTCATGATCTTTTAGTCTTTACCACACTATGTTCCTTGTAATTTCTCTTTGATTCTTTTTATCTTGATGCATGTGGTTCTCGCAGGCTGTTCTGAATTTGCAAGTACCAGTGGAGCATTCTAAGGAAGTGGGTGACTGTAAAAATCTAATTAAGACCTTGGTTGTGGGTAGGTTATCTCCTCTATATTTCATGTGGGGTTAAAAGGTTATTTCGCTAAGTTTGTAGAGGATATGATGCTACTCTGCTAACATATTCCTATATCCAAAAAAAGGAAATACTCTCTAATCCATGTCTGTATGCATTTATAGGAATGAAGACCATCATATGGAGTATCACACACTCTCATTTGCCTCGTTCACAGGTTCTATTTTATCCTTTTCTATTTCTCATTTTCCTAAAATGTGTATTCAGCATCCAACTTAAAACTCATTGGTAATGGGTGGAGGGGCCAGCTTTAATATAAGACCATAGGAAATCCTTTACATAATTGATGACGGAAAACACCACTTAACACATATCATGTGTAGCTCAACAAGGGCCTACACATCGATAACCTCACTGGGGAGTTGTCAGTCTCACATGGGGTTAGGCAGGGAAAACAAAAAACATCTCGTTTTTTATACCATCTGAAGTATTCAACTAAAAACCAATTGCTAATGGACTAACGGGCCCAACTCTTGTAAGACCCTAGGAAACTCAATACTTAATAGATGTGGGATAACAACGCTTAACTAAGTGGAATACATATTATCTCATGCCATTATTTTCAACTGTTTAGGTTTCGTCTTCTACTCATGGAACGCACCAACAAGTTCTCGTCTCATCAACTTCGAACCTGCCTGTTCCTCAAGCATTCAAAGGATTAAGAGAAGATGAGGTATTATACTAAGATAATCAGATCTAAGGTGGAGTTCTAGCATGATTAAATCTTCTTGCTCTAATTTTGGCAGGTGTGGAAAGCTTCTGCTGTTTTAAAAAGTGGTGTACACTGTTTAGCGCTCTTCAAGGAGAAAGATGAGGAGAAGGAAATGCTTCAACTATTTTCTCAAATTTTGGCAATTATGGAGCCGCGAGATCTCATGGACATGTTCTCGTTGTGCATGCCAGAGCTTTTGAATCCATGATTTCTAACAATCAACTTGTTCATATATTTTCTACTCTTCTGCAAACTCCCAAGGTTTACCGTCCTTTTGCAGATGTTTTGGTTAATTTTCTCGTAAGCAGCAAACTTGATGCTTTGAAGCATCCAGATACACCTCCAGCCAAACTGGTTTTGCATCTCTTTAGGTTTATATTTGGGGCTGTTGCAAAAGCACCTACAGATTTTGAACGTATTTTGCAGCCCCATGTGCCTGTAATAATGGAAGTTTGCATGAAAAATGCTACTGAAGTTGAGAAGCCTCTTGGATATCTGCAACTTCTTCGTATAATGTTTAGAGCACTTGCTGGATGCAAAATTGAGCTTCTATTGCGAGACTTAATTCCTATGCTGCAACCTTGCTTAAATATGCTTCTGACAATGCTTGAAGGTCCAACTGCTGAAGACATGAGGGACCTTTTGTTGGAACTTTGCTTAACGTTGCCTGCACGCTTAAGCTCCTTGTTACCTCACCTTCCCCGGCTAATGAAATCTCTTGTATTATGTCTTAAAGGAAGTGATGACCTTGTAAGCTTAGGCTTAAGAACTCTTGAGTTTTGGGTTGATAGTTTAAATCCAGATTTCCTGGAGCCCAGTATGGCTAATGTGATGTCGGAGGTGATTTTAGCTCTATGGTCTCATTTGAGGCCTGCACCCTATCCTTGGGGTGGGAAAGCATTGCAACTCCTTGGCAAATTAGGTGGTCGTAATAGACGTTTTCTCAAAGAGCCCCTAGCACTCGAATGTAAGGAGAACCCAGAGCATGGACTTCGCCTGATTCTTACATTTGAGCCCTCAACCCCATTTTAGTTCCATTGGACAAATGCATAAATCTAGCTGTAGCAGCTGTTATACATAAAGATGATGGCATGGGTTCATTTTACAGAAAGCAGGCTTTGAAATTTCTTCGTGTTTGCTTATCATCTCAGCTTAACCTGCCAGGCAATGCTTCAGATGAAAGTTATACACCAAAGCACTTATTGTCTTCTTTAGTTTCAAGTGTTGATTTGTCTTGGCGCAGGTCTGAGACGTCAGATGCAAAGGTATGCCGTTCTCCATTAATGCAACTGCATACCACTACTATAATTACTAGCTTTGTCCTGTGCATTCTTGTGTCTATCCTCTTTTTCCAAGATTTTCTGTGATGTAATTCAGGAAGTGCTATCATTCATGCTATCAATTAAACTATTGTTCTATTTGAATAACAATTAATATGAATATCCTTCTGCAGAGTGACTTGGGTGTAAAGACAAAGACCCAGCTTTTGGCTGAGAAGTCGGTTTTCAAGATTCTGTTAATGACCGTCATTGCTGCTAGTGCAGAACCAGATCTGAGTGACCCCAAGGACGATTTTGTTGTCGACATTTGCCGTCATTTTGCTTTGATATTTCATATTGATCAGTCATCAGTAAATGCTTCAACTGCCGGTGGTCCAATGCTTTCATCAAATGGAAATACTAGTTCCAGGTCAAAATGTAGCAGTTCTAACCTGAAAGAGCTGGACCCCTTGATCTTTTTGGATGCCTTAGTTGATGTGCTAGCAGATGAAAACAGGCTCCATGCAAAAGCTGCTCTTAATGCTTTAAATGTGTTTGCCGAAACGCTCCTGTTCCTTGCTCGTTCAAAACATGCTGACATGCTGATGTCAAGAGGGGGCCCAGGTACTCCTATGATTGTTTCTAGTCCCTCAATGAATCCTGTATACTCTCCACCTCCAAGTGTTCGCATCCCTGTTTTTGAGCAACTTCTGCCTCGGCTGCTTCACTGTTGCTATGGGAGTACATGGCAAGCACAAATGGGAGGTGTTATGGGTCTTGGTGCTTTAGTTGGGAGGGTCACTGTTGAGACTCTGTGCCTTTTTCAAGTTAAAGTTGTTCGGGGTCTGGTATATGTTCTTAAAAGGTTGCCTGTTTATTCTAGCAAAGAGCAGGAAGAGACAAGTCAGGTTCTTACGCAGGTTCTTCGAGTGGTAAATAATGTTGATGAGGCAAACAATGAACCGCGCAGGCAAAGTTTCCAAGGAGTGGTTGATTTTTTTGCTTCAGAATTGTTCAATTCAAATGCATCTATTATTGTTAGAAAAAATGTGCAGTCATGTTTGGCACTTTTAGCTAGTAGGACTGGCAGTGAGGTATCTGAGCTTCTTGAACCTTTGCATCAATCATTGCTTCAACCTCTTATAATGCGTCCACTTCGAGCTAAGACTGTTGATCAGCAGGTAAGCATGGTATATTATCTTATAATCATCTTTGAATGTTTCCTCTTATTTTTTAACTTTTGAGTGGCTTATAGGTTGGAACAGTTACAGCTTTGAATTTCTGCTTGGCCTTACGGCCACCCCTTCTCAAGTTGACACCAGAATTGATTAATTTTCTTCAAGAGGCTTTGCAAATAGCTGAGGCTGATGAAACTGTTTGGGTGGTAAAGTTCATGAATCCGAAAGTGGCCACATCATTAAATAAGCTTCGAACAGCTTGCATTGAGCTACTCTGCACCACAATGGCATGGGCAGATTTCAAAACTCCTAATCATTCAGAATTACGTGCAAAGATCATTGCCATGTTTTTCAAGTCTTTGACCTGTAGAACTCCAGAAATTGTTGCTGTTGCTAAGGAGGGTTTACGACAGGTATATACAACTTTTATGTTATAGTTGTCTTCTCTGTTTTTTTATGCTTTCATAGGCTTGTATAAGCTTATGAGTCTTTACAACATGATGCATTAACAATCTAATCAAGTAATTCTAGCTGTTCAAGAAATGGAAGTGGATGGTTGGAAAGATTGTTCTTTTGATATATTGGGTTTGTATTTTTTTTTAAATAAATGGTTTTGGGGAAAATGGAAATGGAATTCAGTTTTGGTTCTTTGAGCTGGGTGATACATGCAGCTATAGTTTTCCCAAAAAGCTCTGGTGCCAGATTGCTATTTTAATGAATAATTATTTCTCTACTTCATCTCTGTTCAGGTCATTAATCAACAGAGGATGCCGAAAGAGCTTCTACAGAGCAGCCTCAGGCCTATCCTTGTCAATTTGGCGCACACCAAGAATCTCAGCATGCCTCTACTGCAAGGTCTGGCGCGTCTGCTTGAACTTTTATCCAATTGGTTTAATGTTACTTTAGGTGGCAAGTTGTTGGAGCATCTTAAGAAATGGTTGGAACCTGAGAAACTTGCTCAGAGTCAGAAATCATGGAAGGCTGGTGAAGAGCCAAAAATTGCTGCAGGTAATAAATTTTAAAATTTCTTCAGTAGTATGTGAAACTTATGCATATACTTTGTGCATTTAAAATTATTTACCTTTTTTATGCAGCTATCATTGAGCTTTTTCATTTGCTTCCTCTTGCTGCATCAAAGTTTCTTGACGAGCTTGTTACGTTGACAATTGATTTGGAGGGGGCTCTTCCTCCTGGCCAAGTATATAGTGAGATCAACAGTCCATATCGTCTTCCACTTACCAAATTCTTAAATAAATATGCAACTCTTGCTGTTGATTACTTCCTCGCTCGATTAAGTGAGCCAAAATACTTCAGACGGTAGGTTTACGATTCTGGCTTTTGCTGTTAATATCAATACACTCAAAATTAGTTCAGTAATTCTTTTCTGTCCTCCATTTTATGTGTACTTTCCAGATTTATGTACATAATACGTTCGGATACTGGTCAAGCTTTGAGAGACGAACTTGCAAAGTCTCCCCTAAAGATACTTGCTAGTGCATTTCCCGAATTTTTACCCAAGTCTGAAGCAGCAATGGGTGATGAAGGGCTTGGTACTTCTCAGGTTGATAGTTCTAATTTGCCACCTGTAACCTCATCTGCAACTTCAGATGCTTATTTTCAGGGCCTTGCACTTGTTAAAACTTTGGTAAAGTTGATACCTGGCTGGCTACAAAGTAATCGTCTTGTTTTTGATACATTGGTACTTGTTTGGAAGTCGCCTGCAAGAATATCTCGTCTGCAAAATGAACAAGAGCTGAACCTTGTGCAAGTAAGTTCAATTTCACTTTAGGCACAAGCATAACTCCTTGTTACTTGGAAATCTTAACAAATAATTTGAGGACATGTTTCGTTCTCCCATGCATGAATCAAAATTTTTGTTATTGGTTATTCTTTTTAATTAGCAAGGGTTAGATTTGTGCTTCTATGTAGGCTTATGGATGTTTAGTTTCAAGTGCTATGTTGTAGAACATATTCACCTCAAAAAACATTCCATAGGTATTTTTTTTAACCTCTTTTTTTTAAAAGAAATTGGCTGCAGTTTTATACCATGCTTTTGTCTTCAGTCTGTTGGCACTCCCCCTTTTTTTTTTTGATAAGAGGTGGAGGCCTCATTAAAAACCCCTTCTTGATTAAAGGAACACCGCTCGGTTTTCCTTAATCAGTGGAAGGAGGAAAAGAGTGCCTCAAAATTTATTGATAACTGAAAGATTACATAATGTTTAAAACAAACAATCCCCTAACAAAAACACTCCCCTTTTTTTGTTAGTCTTATATCCTTAGGTATTCAGAAATACAATTTTAAACTATCTTTTTAATCCCTTTTTTTGCCCCCTCAAGAAGCAATATTCCAGCTTATTTGCATGGATTATGTAACTTTTTATTGTTTGGATGTGCTTACTGTCTGAGGTGTTATGACTTGCCACAAATTTTTGCGACCTCTATTGGGAAGTTCTGCATTTGCATTTGGTGTCCATGTGTATGTGACGCTTGGTCTGTATTTGATAATGTTTACTTCTTAAATGCAGGTGAAAGAAAGCAAATGGCTTGTCAAGTGCTTCTTGAATTATTTACGACATGACAAAAATGAAGTTAATGTTCTCTTTGATATCCTTTCAATCTTCTTGTTTCATAGTCGCATTGATTATACCTTTTTGAAGGAGTTCTACATTATTGAGGTACCTAATTAATATTTTGTATATGCTTTATAATTTGAGACTATCTTACTATGTTTTGTTTGTTGGTTATGTGATGGTGTAGTGTCTGTCCCTGATTTCAGGTTTCCGAAGGTTACCCACCCAACATGAAAAGAGCACTTCTGTCGCACTTTTTAAATCTTTTTCAATCAAAACAACTTGGTCATGATCATTTGGTTGTAGTGATGCAAATGCTCATTCTTCCAACGCTTGCTCATGCTTTCCAGAATGGCCAAAGTTGGGATGTTGTAGATCCTAGTATTATTAAAACAATAGTTGACAAGCTTCTGGACCCTCCAGAAGAGGTAGTCCTTCGCATCTATGTTTTATTTGATCAACAGCCCTGTCTTTGCACATTCTTTTTCATAATCAATATGATTAATTTTTTCTTCATTTTTAACACATTTCACTTCTCTATTCAAGGTTTCTGCTGAATATGATGAGCCTTTGAGGATAGAACTTCTGCAGCTTGCCACATTGCTTCTTAAATATCTCCAGAGTGATCTGGTTCATCACAGAAAAGAACTAATAAAATTTGGCTGGAATCATCTCAAACGTGAAGATAGTGCCAGTAAGCAATGGGCGTTTGTGAATGTTTGCCACTTCTTGGAGGCCTATCAGGCCCCAGAAAAAATTATTCTTCAGGTACCATCAGGACTTGTGATGCAAAAGAGCAGCATAATTGGCTAATTGTTTTTCTTGGTGCGGGTTTCTGATATATCATGGCGAATCAACTAGAACATAAATCTTATGGTGATTATTGGCTGTTGTTTCTGTTTGTAATGCGGTGTCTGGATCAGAATATGAAGTACTAAGCTACTACTTTTGGTGCTTGAGTCCTATCTCTTGCTTGTTTACTTAATAACCCAACAGTTAATGCTGTCAAATAATTGTAACATGTATGAACTTGACATCCATTGAAAACTTGCGAGTTTGAGCTCATGCACTTCACTATTGTTTATAATACTGGACATTTCTTATATCTTTATTGAATTAGTATTTATGAACATATTCTGACATGAACTTAAAATGTAGGTTTTTGTTGCACTCCTTAGAACTTGCCAACCAGAGAATAAAATGCTGGTCAAGCAGGCCCTTGATATTCTGATGCCAGCTCTACCAAGAAGGTTACCTCTTGGAGATTCTCGCATGCCAATCTGGATAAGATACACCAAGAAGATCTTGGTTGAGGAAGGCCATTCTATTCCTAATTTGATTCACATTTTCCAGCTCATTGCCCGTCATTCAGATCTATTTTACAGTTGCAGAGCTCAATTTGTGCCTCAGATGGTTAATTCTCTGAGTCGTCTTGGGTTGCCATATAACACTACGGCTGAAAACCGGCGTCTTGCTATTGAACTTGCTGGATTGGTGGTTGGTTGGGAAAAAAAGCGGCAAAAGGAAATGAAAGTTGCAATTGAAAGTGATGTCCCCAGTCAGACTGTTGATGGGTTTAACTCGGCTTCTACTAATGCTGATCCTAAGCGTCCAGTTGAGAGTTCTACATTCCCTGAAGATCCAATCAAGAGAGTTAAAGTTGAACCTGGTCTTCAGTCCTACTGTGTCATGTCACCTGGTGCTGCTTCATCGATTCCCAACATAGAAGCTGCAGGTCCTACTGGACAACCAGATGAAGAATTTAAGCCAAATGCTGCCATGGAAGAGATGATTATCAATTTTCTTATACGGGTGAGGCTTCTTTTAATTGTGCTTTTATGTTCAGCTTAGTCTCTCTCTGACTCTTGAAAAGGCCTCTAAAATTCAGCCTAGTTTATCTATGACTCATCTCTGGAAGTTTGGATTTCCAAGATTCTTGAAAGGCACCTAAAATTCATATATCTGTCTAATCTGATGAGCTTCTGCTTTCTGCTCCTTGAAAATATAAATATCAGTTGTTTGGCCGAAAGTAATGGGATAACCATCTTAACTTAATGCATCTCTAACCAGATTATATTATAATTTTGATTAGCTGTTGAGGTTTGAATCTATCTCCTGATTCAGAATTAGTTTCTCAAATATTCTTCGAGAATATATATATCTACCACATAAATGTCTAAATATGCCAGAAATGTGGAAAAAAGAATATGATATCCATAAACACTTGGTGATGTTTAAAAACTTGCTTTGGCATGTGCCTATATGGTTCTTGTGCAAACTGAATTTTGGAAATAGCATCAATTTTGGTTTTGTTGCCAAGATTGTCATTAATGTTCTCTTTTTGTTTGTTGTTACTATATCTTTATCCATCATTTGTATGTTTTTTTTGGCCATCAAACTCGTGATTTATTTAGTTATTTCACATGATTTACTTAACATTCTCTTAATAAATCTACCAAATTTGCTCTGAAATAGGTTGCTTTAGTAATTGATCCCAAGGAAAAAGAAGGAAGTGCTATGTACAAACAAGCTTTAGAGTTGCTTTCACAAGCTTTGGAGGTGTGGCCTACTGCCAATGTCAAGTTTAATTATTTAGAAAAGCTACTGAGCAGTGTTCAGCCATCTCAGTCGAAGGACCCTTCCACAGCTCTTTCTCAAGGCTTGGATGTCATGAATAGAATTTTAGAGAAACAGCCGCAGTTGTTCATTAGAAACAATATCAATCAGATTTCCCAGGTATATTCCTGCTCTATATGCTTATCACTTTGAATGACAGGCATTTTCTGACATAATTAATGTTACATCTTTGTCAGATTCTTGAACCTTGTTTCAAGTATAAAATGTTAG